TAGAATTGGCAATATCGAAATACTATTCAAAACTTAAATGATCTCAGGTCTCTAACATTCCTAGTTCTTACCACTTTAAAATGATTTTTCTATACTCATCAGACTCAGATCAAATATGCTACTTAACTAAACTCTAAACAAAACAGTGGGCCCACACACACACTCTCACACACACACAAAAACAATAAAAGTTGCAGGCCTGTGTGTTGCTCGGTGCGGCAGGCAAATCTTTATCCTCAGTGGCAATTAACAGTCATACAGAAAATCCAACTCACGGTCTGGAATAAGTCCTGGAGAAACATTTCATGAAGAGATGGAGATGAAAGCAAACGGCAGCAGAAGCAAAGTCCTCCTCAGTAAGCGCGAAACAGTCCTTCCCGTTCGCTAATTTACGAATCCTACTATGGCCATGCCAAGTCCCTCCCTATGCCTACCTCTGATTGGCTGAGCTCAATGAGGTGAGGGGTCAAAGGTCCAGGGCTGGCTGAGGGGTTAGGGTTTTTAGGTTTAGGCAAGGGGAGAAGAGGTTAGGGTTAGGGCAAGGAGTGGGGGAGGTTAGAATTGAAAAGACAAACAACAAAAAAAAAAAAAACAAAGGTCAACAAAGAAAGACAGGGGAAAAGGCAGATACTAGGATCAGAGCAGAGGGGGAGAAAAGGAAAGGGGGAGGGAAGTAAGCCAATCAGAGGTAGGCATAGGGCGGGACTTGGCGTGGCCATAGTAGGATTCGTAAAATCGCTTCCCGTTCAGCAATGGCGTCCTCTTGGCTAGCAGCTCACTTGCTTTAGCTTAGTGAGCACAATCACTCTTGCAAAACTCTAGCGCCCTAATCCACTGTGATTAAGCAAGAAATGCATGTTACTGTCCTCAGCTACAGCTTCTTATGTTACTTAAACATTCAGCAAGTTATCTACCAAAACGTCATTACTTCTTCACTTTACTTTAGCTCCCCATTTCTCTCTCTTTTCTCTTCTCTCCTTCTCCTCGATTCTCCTGTCTCTCTTGTTGTCGCTTTTTTTTCTTACCAACAGGTGACACTGAGTGACGTATACAGCAACCAATCAAATGAAACAGCATGAACCAATGACACAAATCTGAATATTCACATTTGGTTTACCACACACTTTTCTTCAGCTACTATATAGAACAATTTAATGTACTTACTTGATTAACTATTTACACTCAACTTTATTATGAATTTATGTTAATCTCTTGGTTAACATTTCATCTATCACTGCTTTTAATCAAAATTACTGTCAGTTTACTTGCATTACTAAATTATTTAATTAGATAATTTAAATAATTATTTGTGTTGTGAAATGAACTTGTTTTAACCCCTGTACTTTTTACACCAGGCTACACATGTATGCTTTTATTAACAACCTACATCTTTTTACACCTATTGAAAGACCAGTGTGTAGAATTTAGTGGCATCTAGTGGTGTAGTTGCAGATTACAACCCCCTTGCCTCACCCACCTATTCTAAGCATGCAGGAGAAATTACACTGGCTGCAAAATTTGCACAAAAAAACCCTGCAAAAGGCTATCTGGAGCCAGTGCTTGGTTTGTCTGTGCTGGGCTACTGTAGAAACATGGCAATTCAACATGGCAACCTAGAACCAGATCGAGCCAAACACTTGAAGTTCTTATTGTCCGCATGTATTCATTTACACATTTTCAGGCTATATTGATTTTCTTTGTTTTGTCTGAGGATTATTTGTTTTGCCAATCCACCCACTACATACAGTGGTCACTGAAAGTCACTGACACAACAATACAACACACAATCAATGTATCTGTATCTTGTGTTGCAATTACAGAAAATACAGATTATTTGCATCTGTTATCAATACTTAAATACAATTATTCTAAGATCTGCTGTGCACATGTTATGGATAAAGGTCAAATTGTTCCTTCCCCATCTGTTTTTTTGTATTCCTACCCATTTTTTAAGCTCTAATATTACTTTTTTGGAGTAATGCAGTAAAGTAAGGCAGATATCAGTTTTAACCTATAATTGAGTAAAATCCAGTCGTACATGCATGGACAATAAGTAGCTGAACTATCTTGATTTGGAACATAAGATAGTATATGAGAACATAAGCTATCGGTTGAAAATTTTACGTGAAAGATAAAAAACACAGATATCACGGAAGCAGGAAATGAAGACGCCTCATCCTCATCTCATCTAATGTCACTTCTTTGGTCTTTGCTGAATGACCAAAACAGTGAACTTATTTCCAAATCTTAAAAGTGGGAACCTTTTGACGGTTCTCAAGAAACATGAATGATGATATAATATTGAAACTGGCATCAGAAGTTTCCAGAGAAACCTGCATTATGCTGGAATTGCTCTTTATTGGCATTGATGCACTTTTCATTTCAGTCACTGTTTTACACACATATATACATATGATCGCCTACTTCCTTTTCTCCTTTTGTAGTGCTGACAGCAGAGTCACTGCAGTGTGTCCATGTGTGCAAACAGCAGAGTCCCTGAGAGTTTAAATGACTCTGCAGTCAACACCTTTGCCCTTCTCATGTCCCATCTACTCTACATCTGAAGCACCAGGTTATGCAAACATCCAGTCCACTGGAAACACAGTGATTATCCACCTCATCTATTCATGTTTTACCCGATTATTCCTATTCGGGGTGAAAAAGGTCTGGAGTCTGTCCCAGAATACATTGCTCACGTCCTGAAAAGTTCACTGACAGATAACATCACTCAGGCTTGCATTTATACCTGTGGAGATTTTCATCTGACGTGTGGGGGGAAACCTACACAAACATAAGCTGAACATGTAAACTCCTCCCAGAAAAGTCACCATTTCTAGCAGCGAGGGGAGTAGAGAGCAGGATGTGTGTGGTAACTAAGACCTGGCACCGAGCCCCCTTGACATTACCAGGCTGAATCAGGGCACCCACTGCCCGCCACCAGACACCTCAGACCTTTGCCATTTAATATATGATGCCTCAGAGTAGCAGAGGGGCAAGAGAGCAGGCCTGCTGCCAGAAGGTCTCTTGGTCTGTCTGTATGAGCAGTGGGCACTAAAGTTTCTGACAACTGCCCCTAAATTGAAGATATTGAAGAAAAAATAATATTTATAACATCTTGGATATCATTTACTTATTTTGGCCATCATTGGTTATTAATTAAATGTACTTGGAGCAGCATCGCTACAAAGTCTGATAAGGCAAAATCGCTAATTTGAACAGATTTGAACAAATTCCCATGGTAATCAAACTTATTTCATAGAGATAAAAAACATGTACTAACTAGTGCACACATACGGTTTTCTTGTGCAGGTAGGGGTATTAACCAACATTACCAACTTCTAGTTTGAGGCTAATTTCAGAGCTCTTCACAGCCCACTTGTTCTGAATGAGGCCAGCCCATTGCTGCACGGGGTTGCTAACACAGAGAGAGGGGGGAATCAAGTTTGTCAGGCAGAAATGTTGAACCAGGCCCAACTAGATGTCATCCTCTGCATTAGCCAATCCAATACATGCGTGCAAACATTCCTGGTAATATACAAAGGCTATTTCTGCTGTTTATCTCGCATTTGGTGTGACCAAAGATAAAATAATTGCCACTATGCTAACTTTCCAGAGTTAAATACCCCCCCCCTCTCTCTACAGCTGTCCAACAAGCCTTTAAAGACATTAATCTGTTACTCAAACCGGACTTTTTGGATTTTATGTCAATACCTGAAGCAACAGACCTTCAAAGCAGCCCCCTATATTTTCCATCTGAACACGCACTTACCCTGAAATACAGTGGTTTAGATACAGCAATCTGACTCAGCTTTTGGCTTGTTTACACCTTGTCTGATCATGTTGTGTTTCTTGCCCCGTAGGACTAGAACATGTCACCATGTTCCTAGATCTCAGTGATACATTTAGTGTTCTCATAGCTGACAGAAATGATGATGACAAGTTAATTTGTGACCTCGGAAACACTAGTTTGAAAGCTCTGGAAAAAGTTCGTAAGGGGACTTTGAGTTAAGGTTTTTTGTTAATAGATACAGTATGAATGCCACAACTATGAAAATAAAGCCCACATGTAATAAACTGGAATTTTCCTTTAACTCAGAGAAAACGGTGCCTGCATTCCAGGTTTAGGAAACAGAATGAACTGAGAAATGTGATGAATGTCATGCTGTTCCTTTTGTTTTCGCCTACTGTTCAAACAGCATAAAGCGGATGATGTCTTTCATTACACCTGGTGAATATGATCTCTCAGGAAGCACCTCGAGTTCATGAATGTTGATGATTTACACCACCTGAGAGAAGAAATGCTAATTTGTTTAATGTCAAGAGGTAATTTGTGGCAAGTTGCTTGATTTATATATCAAACATCTGGAAGGCACTATGATTTCTTATGTGCTGGTGATAATAAGGTGATTTTCACACAGTGGAAAAGGATGTGTGTGTGTGTGTGTGTGTGTGTGTGTGTGTGTGTGTGTGTGTGTGTGTGTGTGTGTGTGTGTGTGTGTGTGTGTGTGTGTGTGTGTGCCTGCCTGGCTGGTTTTGCTCCTGCTGACAGAGTAATGGATCTGTTCATTGTTGCATGTGGACTGTGTGTGATGTATGAGATTCATTTGAAATTCTCTGTCTTAAATGAGGCACTCACATGTCTCCATATGGGAGAATATAGACTTGAAGGCGAATGTATTATAGGAAAATGAACAGAAGTTGCTCATTTTTGTGGTCATCATTGCTGTGAAATGGTCTTGATCGTGGTCTTTTGTCTCATATTTTTCTTTTAATGTGAAACCCATATCATGCACAATAAATGTGTCAGAAACAAAAATGGTTGCTGTCCTGGTTGGATACTTAAATATCAATTTAATCAAATCCAAAAAACAGTTTAATGGAACGTTTTAATAATAGAAACGTATATTTAAGTATTAGGCTGTGTATAATTATTTGTATTTGAATTATATGTGCAAAGGAACACTGAATAAATAAAATAATTTGACACATTTCCTTGTAAATCCATTATGCAATTCACTTTATTGCCAAGTTGATTTTGAGTATAGTAACAAACAAAAAAAACATGACATAATTCACATTGGCTTTTAAAAAATAAAAGCCTTATCGACATGATTTTATCAAGACACCATAATTAAATGAAATTATTATAAAAACCCACAATTGAAATTTACACAAAAATTAACTATAAAACATTTTGACATGCAATAAATACATTCATTTCACTAAAGCAAAGTAAGATCAATATTGACAATGAAATGCAGAAAATGCAAAAAAAAAAAAAGAAAATACTGTTTGGTTTAATGTATTGCTTTTAATTGTTTTTATGGTATACACTTTTGTAAAACCACAAAACGAAACACTGGACATTATTGATGTTTAATGGATGTCTGCTCCATGCCTGCTGAAATAAGATCCTGTCTTCCACTGAAAAATCTAATTTCCATTGTAAATTTGTGATGTATGTATTCTGTCATGTATTTTTTTCCCATCTATCCGCAGAGACTACTGTCTGCGTGGCAGTCTGTGTTACTGCTGAACTTTCTTATCCATGAACCACAAACAGTCGGGTACAACCACCTCAAAACGTCACAGTGATCTTCATTAAATCGTAATCCATCATTTCTACACATAACCTTTTTCCAAAACCAGAATAGATGTTTGTGTATGTGTCTTTGTGTACGTGTGTGTGTGAGTGTGAGAGGACCCTGAGGCTCTGTAACATTTTGGCACAGGTTTTAGTGTGCTGGGTGGAAGCCGTCAGTGGAATCACCTTTTCTTTAATAATGGCTTTTTCTACAAGAAGCGACACTCCAAACAGAGCAGGGCAGCCTAATTAAATCTGACCTAATCTGGAGCTGCAGTCTGCCATCCAGCTGTGTGTGTGTATATGTGTGTGTCCACGTGAGTGTGTGAAATATACAATCAAATCTAGTCCTCAACCAACTTTCACTCTTCCAAATTCCTGCTTGTTTTGTCCTTGCTCTTTGTTTGTCTTTGAATTTAAACCTCTGCAACAGAAGTTGTACGCTGTAAACGAAAAGATTCAAGCCAAAGTCCACTTAGTCTGCCTTGTATGTGTTCAAGGTAGAGACAGAAACAGAGATCCAAGCCAAACAGATGGAGGACGACATGAGCAGCCAGAACCCCCTTCCCCGTTCAACTACAAAGAGCCTACTGTGGGTCATCTGCTGATTGGGTGATAATTGTTAGGTCTGGAAAAAGGATGACGTCTCTGAGGGCACGCTGACATGAGCATTAACATTAAAAATCCTTGACAATGACCTGCAGCAATCAACAATGAAAAGGCAAAAAACTTAATTTCCTCACAAGATAATTTCCTACAAGAGGGAAATGAAATAAAATCACAGAACGAGGTGGGGGGAAAAAAAGAGGTGAACAGACACACAAAGCAAACAGCTTTTCTTTGTTATTTACTGAAAGTTATGACTATCAAGCACAAGCCATTTCTCTCTCAGAATCTGCTTCTTCTCCCCTCAACTCTTCTCTCTTACTTGTTCTCTCCATCTCAGTGCATGACTTGGCTGGTGCAGCCGAGGCCCGGCTCAATTGTGCAATTTCATACATGTTTACTTTACTGGCATCTTTCTGAGCATATTTTCTCCCGAACATTTCCCCTCACATTATTCTGCATTTCCTCTACAACGATATGCTGTCTTTAATCTCCCTTTGTAAGCCATTTCTTGGCTTGAGGATCAGAATACAATAACGATGTCAGACTTTTTTATTTGGCCCGTCATCTGCTGTATTTTAACACATGCCACAAAGTTCATTTTGGAAATTGATCAGGGCTTAAAGAAAAAGAAAGTAGCTCTTCACATAAACATTTAGACAACTGTCTTCTTCAGCATGAAAAACAGCTGGAAGTAAGTGGATCATGGGAGAGGAGGGAGGCAGCGGGCGCTGTGGGTCAGCGGTTTGTGTTGAGTGTAAGAGGAGAGAAGGGACAGAGAGAGGTGAGGAGGGAAACTGTGCTTTGAGGTAACAAGGGCGGTGAACGAGTGTGGCCAAGCTCTGCACTGAAGGGAGGAAGAGGAGGAAAGCGAAGGAAGCAAAGTGCCAGAGGAAAGGCAATTGTGGGACTTCTAGGGGATCATAAGAGTAATAAAAAATCACAATACAATGATTTTTCCAGAAAAGTGCAGTTCGGGGAAATAAATCTAAAGCAGCTGCTTGTAATAAAGACTCTTGAAAGTGTCAAATCTCTCCCTTGTACTTCACCCTGCTACACTGTGGGAAAGGCGCTCAGACATGTAGATGGACAGGTGCACTGTGCGGACACATCAGAACACCTACACACACACTCACACACAGGCATACAAGTTATTGCAGAATTATCGATGCTTGTTATACTGAAGCCACATTCGTATTGGTTGACTTAAGAGTAGGCTTTTGGTTTCAACGCCAAAATGAGGCTTGATTATTGATATAATTTGGCTCTAGCGTACATTTAAATGAGTCCTCATGAAAAGAAATATGTACACAGGACAATAGTGGCATGTCTGCACTGTGCTCTCGTGATTAACTACATAGATAATGGCTCTCATAATAAGGCAAAGTCAGAGTTGGTCAGAGGCTTAGCTCGACAATGCAACCCGTGGAAACTACTAAGATTGTCGCTGAGTTTTGTTTTGAGCATCTGCAATGTCTGGTAAGTGCTTCAGTCCTTTTGGCACACAGCGTGAAATACAATAAATGTCAAACAGCGGTATGATTGCAGATCAGGACTACTCAGAGCCTGTCAGAGTCACACAGGTGACCCCGGACTTTCTGCCGCTGGTAGAAAGCTTAAAGGCATACTTTGCATTTTTTTACATTAAACCTAAATCCTTTTTTGGTCTACACAGGGCCCCTGGAACTCATCCAGATCGTTTTTTATTTCTATATTGTTAGTGTTATAAAAGTTACGGGCCTGGGATGGTTGCCATAACAACATTAGAAAGGAATGAAATGGCCTAAAAAATAAAACAAAATAAAAACATCAACCCACATCTCATAGTTTGTGGTTTGTCTCACTGCACTCATTTATTTTTGCATTTATTCATTTTCATTATATAAATTAATGTAACTAATAAATTGTTTTAAATGCCTAATTTTATTACTTTCAAAAAATTTTCATCTAAACCACTTTTGTGGTAGAAAGAAGTTTTCTGGGTTGGTCATATAAATAACATTAACAAAGGCACATGGCATAAAATCCCATGGGGTGAGTGGCTACACCAGAAAATTGAAACAAGGTTTTTGTAATTCTACTAATTGAATCAACCACAGAGCAAAAGAAATACTGCCAGTTTTTTAATTATGATTTACATAACAGTTTCTAGGCCCTTCATATTGATCAGCCCTGTCCCAATTTTCAACGATGTTCAAAATATAGACATATGGAGAAAATATTTTAATAAATTCTCTGACCAAAAGGATGCCTGAGTTTAATCCACAACATCCTCAAATTGTAACAAACTGTCTGAATGGCTTCCTCACCCACAGCCCTTGAAAGCCCACAATGTTGTATCACCGTGACACTGAGCAGAGGTTTATTCCCAAAGAGCAAAAAGGGGAAGGAAAAGAGAAGATACAGGCTACTTGTTTTCTGAATGGAGAGTTTTAGAAGTACGAACAGGCTTTCATACTGAGACAATGACTCGCGTCCACCCTGCTGCGTTCTCCCTGCTCCTCTCCCTCCCCATTCTCCGTCTCTCTATCTGCCTCTGAGCAGAAACACACGGCACATCCTGCTCAACACAACACACCAGCCAAAAGTTCACTTCCTGCTCCTCAGCTCTTCTCCTTCACACTAACCCTATTCCCAGGACATGCATTAACAGCCCTTCATACGCTCAAATAGCATAGGGACATACAAACAGACAAGCAAACGCTTCCCCTCTCTATAGATACACAACTCTCCCCCTCTCGGTCTGTCATACGCATTAATGCAATTAAGCAAATTTTAAACAGTGCACATCCTACAGAAATGTTCAGGCATTATCTTGCTCTTCCCCTTGCACAGATTTGGAGTGACAGTGGAAACACTTTGTGTTATTTTAATGGTGTAAGGCAGGGAAAAGGAGGAGATAGATTTTCATTTAAACTAGTGAATGAGAGGGAGTGAGGGGACTGAAATTCCCACGACTGACATCCGCCTGTTCCTACATTTCTAACACGTATGCACGTTTGTGGACCAAGTTCTTACTGTTAATAATATTTCATTTAACCATTTCTTTCTGTTTTTGTTACAGAGCTGAACAAGAGTCGCATAACTTGGAGCATCATCCAAAACAAGCTGGCTTCCTGTGTGTCGAAAGTTCACTAACCTCTGGAGAAAAGGGGTCAAACTGTATGAGGCTGGTTTTACATACGCACCCAGCAAAGCCACTGCTCGTCTGTTTAGGGAAGTACTGATAATACATTATGTCTTGTGGAGACATTTCAAAAGACTACACTTGTCACCTAGACTTACTGCATGTGTGGTTGAAACCAAAGCCTCCTAAATGTGCTCGCTAAAGTGTGGTTCAGAAATTCACAAACAGCCAGTTAAGATACTACCAAAATGACTTTACCTTATCTTATAACAATGAAATTGGTCAGACCGACACTAGCCTCTTTGAGGACAACACAATAGAAAATGTATACCGCATAGTAAAAATAAAAACAAAAAAATGTTAATATCACATGTTATCTCTCCACCATAAAAGTGTAACAAGAAATGTATAAACACAGAAATAACCACAGGTTTAACACAGGACAACTGCCCTGTTAATAGGAAAATAAAAAAAGTGTGTGTGAGTGTGTGCATGTGTGTTTGTGTGGGTATGTGTTGACATTGTTATTTGAAGGTTTAGTAAAGCTTAGCGTCCCCATGCTGGGTTCAGTCCTGAGGTAAGCACCAGTTTCACGTGCACTGCTTTCAGTTAAAATCAAAATAAAGAAAAGTAAGTGACAGAAAACAACATGTTTGATATGATCATATGCTACAGAGAAGAAGCCCTTAAATTATTGTTACATTTAAAAAAACAATCCCAAGAGTCAGACACATTGTCTCTGTTTTTTTTAAGCCTTTAAGATTCACTACGTCTATCACAGTGTATTTATGGCTTTAGTCTTCACATTCACCCACTGAGGTTGGCATTGGCACTATAGTGGTCAGACATTTCTAATCTGAATCAAGGACCAGTAAAAGTGGAAAAAGAAAAAAAAAGAAAAGGCCAGCATGTTCTTTGCAATAAACATTGAAAGACAAAAATGTGCCGTCTACCCGCAACCTTTAAGTGCTCTTTTGTTTTCAAGCTGGAGGGACTGCTGGTCAGCCAACAGAGAAATATGTCATTCTTTGTTTCCGCATTCGATACCAGCCATGATAGGAGGCGAGGCCGGGAGACATTTGCTAGGCTCGGATATGATGTTAATAAGTGGATCAGAGGGGTAAGATGGCAGGCATGAAATGGGACATCATGCCGGCGAGCAGTGCGAATTGTCCAGGAGAAAGTGAGATTTCACAGGGATTACTGAGGCACAGCAGCTGGGGTGTGCTGTTCACCCGCTGGCTTCCAGGGAAGACCCACAAACCCCTTCTTATGTTCATATCACGGACAGATTAGCAGCTCGCTATGTGTGTGTGTGTGTGTGTGTGTTTGTGTGTGTGTGTGGAGGGGGAGGCGTATATGTGTGTGGTGTGTGGAGCGCTTTAAGGCAAAAGGGCTAAGTAGCACTCACTTTGGCCTGTCAACAGTAGCAGGGCTCCCAGACAACAGACTACAGGGGAGGGAGGTCAAATGAGAGGTCGGACAGTGGAAAGGCATCTGACTACTGCCACTACTCTCTTAATCATCAGACTGCTGGGAATGAAGTAATTGCTTTTGACAGCAAATGACAGATTTATGTGTCATTAATTCTGACCTAGTCAGTGCCTCTAAGCTCGGCCACATTAAAAATTGTAAATATTACACATTGTTAGAGGCAACGCCCTTGCTCCGTCTACACCATAAGATGAAGCTACACTCGTCATGAACAGGGATTAGTGTGTCATCAGTTGGGTATGTGCAATCATGTCCCAGATTTGAGCTCACAGGGCTGTGCTTACTGCATCTCAATAACAACTGAAAGCTAGGGAATGTTAGTCAAAATGCAAAGGAAGTTTTAGCTCAAGAAGGGTTACTCGCTGAGTGTTAGGCTGATTAAGCTACCATTACTGTCACATAGTATGAGCCTTTATCCGCACAAATATGCAGGGGAGTGGGTTTCTTTAAAAAAAAATGTGGAGAAAATAAATCAGAGGAGACTTTACCAAAATGCTGCAGCAATTGCTCTTATCGTTCAGTCATGCCCTTGCGACTTGGGAAGCGGGAACATGATTTGGAGAAGCTGGAGAGTGAGATACATAAATTGTCCAGTACCCCAAAAACAGACAAAAAAAAAAAAGAAAAAAATATATATCCTCCCATTACTTTAAAGTCCAGAAGAGTTGGCTTATTCATTTGGCAAAAGTTCCGCTCAGGTCTGGACCGAAACCCTGAATCTTGTCCTTATGTGCTTTTTCATTTGTTTGTACACAGGTTTAGGGTCAGATTGCAACGTTTCCTTGCAACAGTTTGTCTTTGGATTTCACCATAATACAAAAATAAATAAAACAATTTTATTTTGGTTTTCAATTTGTCACTTTGGCTCAATGGCTGTAAATTTTGAAATGTTTGTTTGCATATACGGTGCATAAATACTGTACTTCTTTGAGTTGAGTGTCCCTTGGTCACAGAATAGCACAGAGCTCCTTTATGAAGGAGGACTTTAAGATACATTAGATGCATAGAAAGGCACTTACAGTCTACACATTTTGGTGTGCATCAACAGACCAATTCCTTTTGGCCTGAGTCTGAGGTGCAGAGGAGATATTGAGCTGAGGTGAATGGCTTTTGAATACTGCAAGTTGTGTGTACACACAGACCTATTGGTGATTGCCATTAATACAGGTCATGTGGTCTTAGCTGGGTGAGTAGCGGTCAATGGTGCGGGCATCAGAGAGGGCCTGCGGGGGAGGGGGGAGGGGCTGGCCCAGGACATCCATCTTGTCGTGGGAGAGGCCCAGGTGCTCCGAGGCCAATTTGGACAGAGGGTAGAGGCTCTCCATGACCTTTGCATCAGCAACCAGTTGCTGCTGGGCTTGGATGAGAAGCTCATTGGCATTCTCCTGCTTCAGCCCCAGATGCTCTGCTGCGTATTTACTGAGAGGATAGATGCCCTCAGCAAAGTCCAGCTTCAGTTTCCCATCAGCGGTCAGGCCCCCTGCAGTCCCTCCACTGCTGTGCATCTTCATGTGGCTGATGAGGTTGCGCTGCTGAGCAAACTTTCCTCCACACACCTGACATGCATAGGGCTTCTCCCCTGAGTGGATGCGCATGTGCTCTGTGAGGCGATACTGCCGGGTGAAGCGCATGCCACAGGCGTCGCAGGCAAAAGGTTTAAGGCCCAGGTGGCTACGCATGTGGCGTGTCATGGTGCCGCGCTGCGTGAACTTCTTGCCACAGATGCTGCATGGGTATGGCCGGGTCAGCCAGTGGGTCTTCTCATGCTGGCGCAAAGTGGCTGGATCTTTGTAGGACTTTTCACAGGAGGAACAACGGTAGGGTCGGATCATCTCCCCGATGCCCCCTGAACTCAGCCCCTGGCTGGACTTGGTCTCCAGGTGGGACAGACTGTTCAAACTGTTGCTGCTGTTCAGGTTCCCATAACCGTTTGTGTTGCTGCTCATGTTTTTGGTGCTGCTGTTGTTGCTGTTTCCCATCTCCCCGCCAGAGTTGCCGTACAGCTCTTCTTCTGTGTGTGTCTCCACATGTGCATTGAGCTGCTCTGAGCTCGGGAAGCCTTTGTCACAGGGAATGCAGACATACAGATTGTCCCCAAAGCTTTCTGGCTCATACGGCATGTGGAACCTCCCCATTGATCCAGGAGGAGAGGGGCGGCCTTCACTACTGCCAGTCTCCTCTGTGCCCGACCCACTCTTGTCGTCTCCTCCTTCACTCTCCTCCCCTGCCTTGTGGTGGTTATGATGCTGGTCTCCATTTTCACCCCCTTCCTCCTCATCCTCATCTTCATCTTCATCTTCAGCTGTGTATGACAGTGGCTCGTGTTTCACCCAGCGGTAGATGTTGCCCATTTCTCTGCCTGCCTCTCCACCTTCCGTGGGGGTGTCAGGGCTCGGGGGACATGGGTAGCGATCTGTGCCATGGGAGCCTGAGCGATGCAGGTGGGGGAGGTGTGGGCCAAGAGGCTGGTTGAGATGGGGGAAAGGCGGAGGAGTGAGAGAGCTTGCCTGGTCGGTTGACTCCATTTTTTCTGAGGGGAAGGCCCTTCCATTTGTGCCCTGCATGGGACTGGTGTGGCCACTCAGAGTCCCGTCTCGCTCCTCATCATTGTGAGTGTTTGCCAGATGGGAGTGAGAGGGTGTGTGCTGAGAATGGGAGTTTGGGCTTTTCTTGGAGAGATCAAGGCCGTAGTTGGGGGAGCAGTTTCTCACGGGGTGGGCTGAGCGCCCAAGCTGGGCAGGCAGAGCTGACTGCAGGGACGGGAACACCTGAGAGGTGGAGGTGGGGGCAAACAGCTCCCCAGCATGAAGGGCTAGTCGATGGGGAACTAGCTCCTGCTCATGTTGTGGTGGCCGGGTTACAGGGCTATTCAAAATTCCCCCTGGAGGGCAGGGCTGAATGACAGGAGTAGAAACCCTATACCTGCCACCACTCCCCAAACCCATACTATTGGGCCCAATCTTTGGGTAGGGCAGAAATGCAGGACCTGGGCGGGGAGGGTACTTGCCATTTCTTTTCAGCTTCTTTTTGCACAAAGCCACTAGGTCGAGCAGCTGAAGGTAGCTGGCTGCTGCCAAGACAGCCCCTAGATTGGGTTCAGTGGGAGAAGTGGGGTCTCCATCGCTAAGGCGGCCTGTGTAGATGTAGTCCAGAATGACTCTGAAGACCCCTGGACTCACCATCTCGTGGTCGAGGTTGATTAGATTGTCATGGACCACCAAAGATTTCAAGTAGAGGCTGCTGGCAGCCAGAATGTTCTTGTGAGCTCTGAAGAGGGCGTTCTGCACCACAATGATAACATCACACAGGAAGCCCTTGGTTCGCTGGCTGTTGAGCTGCAGGAGGAGATCCCTAGCATGACTTGGAACTTCCATGGCACCCAGCATCGTCTTCAGTCCACCACCTGAAACAACAGATATCTGTAAAACATGCGGCAGTCAGCATTTCGACACACAAAAACACAATTAATGTGTACTTTTCTGCACCACAAAAATTATAATTGATGCATTTTATATAAACAATGATGATTTACACATCAGACTATATTAAAATATATTTGAGAGGTCTGAGTACCAAAATGTTGGACTTGAGAAAAAAAAAGAAAAAAGTAAATTATAAGTAATATGGAAACAAAAATATCCTTTGCATACAGATACATTTATGAGGATTAATATAGATCAATTCTCTTTTAAAACACACCACTTAAATTAACTGCATTCTTATGCAAATTCATAATTACAAGTTTTATTTTTTGATTTTTTTGCCATGTTTACTAATTCATTTGTAGATAACGTCTTAAATATTTACATAATCGTGTTTATTTCATAGATTCCACTTGATGGAACATGTACGGAGTGCAGAACTTATGTGCGGGAAGTGCACATGAAGGCCACTCAGTTAAAGTAAACTTTTGCAAAAGGTGAACAGTTGCAGTCGTTTTCTCATTATCTGAAATTCAAGTCTACGCATTCACTTCCTCTGCAGCGAGCAAAAACCATGAAAGAACAAAATTCAGAGAACCACAGATATATATTTTGTAACTGCTGGCTTCCTGATAAAGTATTCCAGAAGTGGTGTGCAGAGTTTTAAACAAAGCAAGGGATGAATGTTTCACAAGTATGATGAACAGCAGGTATAAACCTGAGGGGGAAGGACACATCCAAAAAAAGATGTCTTTCGGCTCCCCTTTCTGCCCAGTCATATAAGGAACACTGAGCGCACGGGATGTAAATCAGCATTACATGGTTTGATACTTTTTGTCGAGATGAGCTCCAGGGATCTAATGCACACACACACACGTACGCACACACACGTTCATACACACTCAAATATCAACACTAATTGTTCCATCAAGCCTAAAATAAACTATACGAGCTGCATGCATGAAACACCATGTATTGTTCGACCAGTGGCATCTGAGGATAGTTTACTTATGAGATTAAACGTCTCAAACTGTCCCTAAGGGCTGAGTCTCACTGATGGGAAACAAGCAACTAAATAAATATCATGTCATCTGTCTGATCATGCTCTTCCTGACACCAGCTCATTCACTTCTTGTTTATTTCATTCAGTTTAAGTGCTCAGCACAAGAATAGGGAAGTAGGAATCTAAATTAAAAAAAACCATGACAAATGAGCTACTAAGGAATTCTGGGGAATCCTGAACAAAAATGTGTCTACTTTTCCCTCTTACAATGCGCCGCGGCTAAAACTGTGCGTTCTCAAAACTCAAGGTCACTGCTTAGTACAATTTTAGTAGCGTGTTTTTGTGAATGCATGTTCAGTATCAGGCCTATAACATCAGAAGGAAATGTCATCACTGATAAAATGGAAAATTAAAGGTTCAGAATAAGTATGACTTCCAGCTTGTGATCATGCAGAGAACAGTCATCAATAAGACACAAAAATATATCTTATACAATCATTTTCATAAAATGTATAATTTTATTTATATCTACATGTGTGACTTTATGCTATTTATTACTTATTATCCGATTGTAAATATCTAGAAAATAAAAAACGACTATGATTAAAAAGGCGGGTATGGCAGGTTTAGGTGGGTTTACGTTCCATCATGTCTGTCCCCAGTTGTCATCTAAAGTGTTTCCACTTCTGGTTTCTGTCTGGCTTTGATTACTCAACGGTCATATTTTACTATAAATTTCAATGTCGGTCAGATCAAACGTGTTTAGAAATGAGTGTGATATGAGGAATAAGCCAAGTACTTTCCACAACTTGTTGAACTTTTGCAGAGCCTCTATTGCATTAAGGGGTGTTCAGCTTACAGTTACTGTTATTGGTTACTGTGCGGAGCATGGTGACACGTCGTGTACTCACTCACACACACACACACACACAATCAGTGTACATTCTCATCTGTATGCGGTCTACAGCTCTGTATCATGCGACACAGTTCAATTGAATCACAAAGCATGACAGAAAATTCAGCCTTCTTTATGTCCTGATTCATGAAGACAGCTTTGTTTTTATACAGAGCGTATGAGGCATACCACTGCACATTTAATATATTCTTGAAAAACGTTATAAAAATCTTTTGCGACACAGGAAAAAAAAAAGATCTCATGCACAAAGCGACATTTCTGTGCACCTGCAACCTGCAGCACGTACAACAAATTATTTTTGGTAACGTCTCGTGGTAAAAACAGTCAAAGTGACTGTGGGTTCCTCATCAAAGCAATAAAGATCTCTTTTCTCTCACTGTGATCAGTGCAAGAAGCTACAACTTGCCTTTTAAAATATCCCACGCTCGCTGTTTGATGCAACAGTAAAACATGTTTTATAAAAAGCTCTTGATCTGCAGGGGCAAGTGTAAGCTTACTGCATCCTGTTAGGAAACCATCTATGATTGCAAAGATATTTAGTCAGACAACAGATCTTAAAACAAGCCTGCTACATGTAATGTTCTTGTAAACACATTAAAAGCCCGCACTGCAGTTTGTTTTGTTGGTTTGTTTTGTTAAACAAGCTAAATTAAATCATTTTTTTCCCTAGGATTGCACAAACAGTGCAGTCATCTGAGAGAAGGTTGCTCGAGTCCCTGTGGGATGCATGGCTGTTTTCATCTGAGAGCCTTCGTTTTTAAGGACCCGTCAACATGCTGAGGAGAGTTAGATGATGGTGATGTAGTTAATGGAGATGGCATTCATTTATTTGCATTAGATTAATATTCATTGTCCCTGTGTTTTGTCTGTTTTGTCACTTCTGTGGTTTGGGGTGAAGCGGGAGACTAAACTTCCTACCTCTACATGCAGCCTCAGTCACATAAACACTCAGACATCTGCTTAAAACGTTATGTTGACATTTTATTTTCTTTCATTTCAATTTGCTGCCTGTGCTCAAGTCACCTTGTTTATTTTAAAACCCATTTGACCACGTTCACATACAGTCCATGTTCAATTTATGAGGAAACACTGCAATACAAAGTCAGGGAGAATCCGCAAGAAGATATTTTACTGTAGTTTCATACGACTTTAATCCAACTAAAAATAAATTTCATTTTGTGACTCACAAGAGGCAAAATACTGGCTGGGGAAGTTGTGCATGCATTAAATAACAGACTGAGTTTTGAGTTTTGAGTTTCAGTTAGAAAAACTGCATCCTGACTCGCAGATCGAGTAGCAGCACCCATGATGGGTGAATAAGATGACTTTTCAGGTCAGCACACACCATGGAGACTGAGAGTCACTTTCTTGTTGTAATCGCGCATCTAAAAAAAAAAAAAAAATCATCCCACACTCGGAGATAAGAGAGTAACACAGCGTCTTGTGAGCTGAGTGGACAAATTTTATTTAACTTTTATTTTAATAATCAGCAATAAACCTATATTTAAGTAGCCTATTGAGAAGTTGTCAGTTTTTTTGGATTACAATCATTTAACACCGAGCAGATCATTCAATTTTAAAGCATTTCATTATAACGTATTTCTAATTTCTTACTCTAAGCTTCAACGATCGATAGGCTATACATTTATTTATAAATTAAATTAACTGTGAGTAAGTTTTATTTGCCTGCCACAGCTCATCAAAGAGCCAGATCTGAAGATCAGGGCTCGTTTTTTAATGCCACTACCTAATATCTGACTACTTCACGTCGCGGTTTTTCTTTTTGCCAGCAAAGCATGAAGTTGCCTGCTGACTGCGTGTCGCCGAGAGGACCCACTAATCTGTTTTACTCACTTATTGTACAGTAAACCGAATCACGAGTGAATCCATCTCTCTGTGAGCTGCAGCGCCTCATCCTTTAAAAGCTTCACCTTATCTCCGCCAAAAAGGAGCCCTAAATCACCCCCAGAAACAGCCCGTTCTCTGCTCATTGTGCTCTAAAGGTGCATCACACAGCTGTTTCTTCTTCAGACCTGTCAACAGCACTGAGAAGCATCTCTTTCTTACATGGATATAAAATCTCGGAAACCAGGAATTCATGCACTATAAATCCCCCCCCAAATATTCCTATAATATTCTTTAGTGTTCTGTGTTCGCCTGAACTCAGTCCTGATGTGTGATTGCACGCAGGGATAGGCCCGTTTTTATTATGTTCAATAGATACATTATGATTTGGCTTCCTTGTTACATTTATTAGAGGACTGCTGAAGTAGCTGAAGTAGCTGCAGTTCCCTTTTAACAGAGGTCGATGTTCCCTTTAACTTTTACATTAGGCCACCATCTGAGTTTAAAAAAAAAAAAAAAAAACCTTTTCTAAATTAATTTAACTCGGGTAAAAAAAAATTATGAAATATCTTCAGATTTTGGAGAGAGAAGCAGACAATTGTTTTGTTACTCATAACTTTTTTGAACATTTTGCAGATTTTTTTTTGGCTTTATGCAGTCTAAAATCGCCATTACTCCGGACTGATTGTGAAGAATTTAATAAAATAACCTACCGCTCTATGTTTAATTAATTATTTGAAATAAAACAGATTCGAATTAAATGCGGAGAAAAAAAAACACACCAGGCGGAGCCTTTACTTGCCGATGTCAAACTGATGCAGGAATAAAACCCCGAGGCAGAGCGCAGCATGGTATAAAATAGCCAATCAATATTTCAACGGTTGAATAAAAAACACAGTGTTTCCTAAGTGACAGCGAACCCTGAACACTTTAATGAATTAAAACGGTCCCACCTCTCCCCTGTCCTTGTGCCTGTGTGCAGCATATCAGCTCTTACCTGCATGCCCGATGTCTTCTGCCATCCGATCTAAGTCTCCCTTAATGATCATCTCAGCAGTCTCCAGGACTCATATCTGACGTTTCAGCTTTGAACTGCCAGCCTCCAAAAAACCATGCCAGTTTTCCGAGCGCGTCTGCCAGCTCTTTTTTTATGATTATTAATTGATATGAATTTCTTGTCGCTCCTTGGGTCCGTCCTCCCACCCACTTTCCTCCCTCTCCCTCTTTTCTCTGTCTCTGCCCCTCCTCTCCCTCTCTTTCTCATCCCCTCCTATAAAAAAATACGTGCTTAGACCAGCATCAGTTTCCTCCTATTTTTTTTTTTTTCTCTAGTAATTTCCTTAGCTATTTTTGAGTCGGAGCAATAACGCGCACCGGGATGATAATGGAGCCTCTATGCGCCTTAAGTGTTTTAGCGCCCCGTGTGATGTCAGTCTATAATAAAACTAAAAGGTAAAATCGAGGGCAGGAACTTCAAATGACCCCGACTTGAACTTCTCAACACATCGCCTTAAAGAGACAGGCAGCTATTGTATACATAGGCATATATATTGCATATTTATGATCAGGAAGCTAACTTAAACTTAGGAGAGGGGTTTAAATGTTGGAAATAACTGCTTACATTGAGAGCTGTTCGAGCGTTTCATGTCGAGGAGCTTCACAGAATTAGACTCCCCCCCTCCTTTAAACACCTTTATTAATTTTATTTAGTCCTTGAGGCCAAAATTAGGCCAAATTCTATTCATTCATGTTTGCTTCTTTTGTGTAATTTAGAGAAATAAATTCACAGCTGCTGGCGTTCTCTATTGTGTGTGTGTGTGTGTGTGTGTGTGTGTGTGTACATGTTTTAATTAAATAAAGTTAAATGAAGGTGTAGTTCACCTTGCCTGCAGACCTCCCCTTTAAAAATGTGGAGCCTTAATGGCACCCCTGGCTTCACTTAAAGAGCACAATTAGCTAAGTGGAAACAAAAAAGGAAGTTTGATCATTTTAAACACTTTAAAACACACATCTCTCCCTCTCTCTTTCTACCTTCCTCCCTCCCTCCCTCCCTCTCTCTCTCTCTCTCTCTCCCTCTCTCTCTCTCTCTCAGGTAAAACACCTGCTGTGACATGGACATTAAAGCCTCAGTGACTGTAAATGGGCGACACATTAAGGCCTATTCTGATGGGTTTTTTTAACTTGTCAAGTTTTTTTCCCACATGTGAAAATATTATTACAGGTAATAGAAAAAAGAAGCTTTTTGTAAAATAGAGCACGCTGCAGACACTGTTTTATCTCATCTTTTATCTATTAAATATATTCCCTTTCTGCTGTAGACACATGCAGTCAGCCTTATCAGTGATACAATAAATTATTAAAACAGTTCATTTCATGTGGCTTTTTATGAAATGTTCCATTTATTTCTTCCTTTTTATACAGCATGTCATACTGAAATCCTGCCCACACGGCCTCCACTGTCTTGGATGATTTACGTAATGCATATATGAAGATTAAAAAAAATATGAAAAATAAGAATTCTAATACAGCCGAAGACAAGCTTTAGGCCGGACGTGCCCATCCAGATGCTCAAACTTTGTCTGGACTGAAGACGACATCAGGACCATCGGCTCAAAACCAAAAGACCCATAAAAACCTGGATAAATTCGTCATTGTGGTCCACTAAAAGCTGCTCAATATGAAACAGAGTATGATCTCACGTCTGTGTGGATGCCACCCGCGCCTCCCTGTCATATCAGAACCTTACCTCGGACTCATGTCTGGTGCTCTGGCCGTATGTCTGCTCTCCTTTTCGGCGTTCCCTCATGAGGACATCCGCAGTTCCCTTCAAGTACAGCTCTCTCAAAACTTCTCTTCCGCGTATTTTTTTTTTATTTTTTTATTTTTGCAGTCCTTTGTCCCCCGGTTTTCCCGTTCTTTCACCCTCTTAGATACACTGAAATGAAACTCCCATGTTAACAAGAGTCTCTGACACTTCAGACTGTGTCGGGGTCCGCTCGGACCAAACCTGCCGGTGGAGAGTTTACGCGCACAGCGACACCCAATGGTGCACTGCACTCCGCTGCAGTGGGTGCCATTGGATTTAGCAAGGAGGACACGCTGTGCAGTGATTTTAGGGGGGGAAATTAAAAAGGTAGGAAAGCTATGATCTCTAATTTGTGAGCAGCGTATAAACACACGGTGACTTAAAAGTCATTCATATTATTATTCGGTGTTAATGCAGGAAATGGGGCTAATTGCGACTTGGTCAACTTTAAAATTAATTAAAGGTAGGCTAAGTAAAGTAAGTTCAGATGAGTTGGACTTTAGGGGTGAATATCCTCTGTTATCACAATAAAATGTCTAGAGTGGAAAGAAGTATTATTTTAAAAATAAGTAAAAAAAAAAAAGAAATAGCAGCACACTATAAAGTTATGCATTTAAAAAGTACAAAAGCAACAAAATGTACTTTAAGTGGTAAGAGTACTTTTACTTCTGGTACTTTTTCTACTGTCAGTGTTATAAGTCGTTATTATAAGATCATTAATTTAGATGCATTTACATGTAGGCTGGACTGTGGACTAATTTAAACTGCTTTATATGTACACATAATGCATGATAGTTTAGTGTTACAAAAGCATCATATCTTATAGATTGTATGTTTTGTGTGTAAAATCGTAATTTGAAAGTAACTACAGGTGTAAGATAAATTCTGTAGAGTACAAAGTACAACATTTTCTACTCTACAGTAAGTATGAAGTAGCATTAAAATGTTAAAGTAAATTACAAGTACTTCAAAAATGTTGCTCAAGTACAGTACTCGAGTACTTAGTTACATTACTTTCAAGTACCAGTCCCAATGATGAAGCTTTATAAAAAGGACTGTCTGAATATATGCTGCACTCCAACATGTCTGACAAAAGAAAAATTGCCCGTTGATACCACGTAGGCTAGTAATTTCTGTTCTAACCATCATTTAAGGTTTAAGTTTATATCATTAAAAGTAAATGAGGAAACATCTCCAGAAAAATGCAGAGTCTGTGTATTGCTGCTAATTGGCATCAGTGTCTAAAAAAAGTTAAATTTTCATTCTTTTTGTACACAGTAGTTAAACGCAGTCATTAAGTCTCTATAAACATTAATACTAACGCATATTTAATCTACCGTATTTGGAAAGATTATGTCAGATAGTCCTGTCTGTTATTATTCCCTCAAGTCTTTCCACAGCCATCCGGAGGTGTTTGAAAGACCGCAGATTGAAATTGATGAAAGTAATTATTTTACCATCACTGAGTGCGTTAATAGACAGCTGATGTGATCCAGTCACACACACACACACACACATACACACACACATACACACACACACACACACCAGACTGAGGCCTGTTTATGTTTGTTTTGATCACAACAGCAGCTGACAATCTCATAAAGCATGCTCTTCCTCTTTAAATGATCTGAGTCCAAGGTGCTGGTGTTTCATTGAAGTTATCCAAGCCACCCCAACAGCCTGGTGGAGTGGAGGACGGTATTGTCCTTCACTTCCATGTTCCCTTGATGAACTGTTGATAACCTCACAGACAGAGGTAGGCAGAACTGTGCAGGAGAATAGATATGTTGTATCAAGGATGTGTTTCGATTCATGGTCTAAAATAGTTTTTTCCATCTAGGGAAACACATATTGATGTCATATGCTGCTTGTCAGGTAGGTTATGTCTTTAACATAGGTTGTGCTACTTGTATTTATTTAATCATGAGCTCTATCTATGACTTCAGGTATTGATGTATTGCATATTTTCTTTTTGAAAATAAATTAAAATATCGCTTGAATAATTGCATTCAAGATTTTCGCCAGATTATACACGTGCAGAGTTCAGATTTGCCTTCAACATTTCTGTTACAAATTGTATTTTATTAAGATTCTGAAGGTTATAGTTCATTACAGAACAATTATAGTCCAACTGAAATCTGCAAGCTTTTCATATAATTGGCACTAATTATGCACCTAACACAGCCTCATAACCAATAAATAACACAGGCAATAAATGTGCAACAACACACTTAGGCCTACTCAAAGCAGGATTTCACAGGGGTCAAGGGTCAAAGCCTAGGTTGTGAATTCTTTACGAAAGCACCATAACCAATAAATAAACTTTTATGCCACATGTTGCCTGGACCTCTATATCAACATGACAGGAGGCGTTACAGCCAAGAAAGATAGCTAATTTTCCTTGTCAGGACCAGACATATTGATATGTAGTCTGATAGCAAAACCAGAGCACAGAGCAGAAAAAAGTATGATACTATAGAAACTAATGTTGCTTAATTTCTGTTTCTTTGTGTGTCTTTGGGTACAGCAGTTGTCTTCCCAGACAGACTTTATCTCACTAATCAATCAGCCTCCAGAGGCCTGCGCTGGACATTCAACTTCAGCCTGTCAAAATACAATTTAACATACTGTAATATGGAGCGCAGCAAACCTGAAACGCTGAACTTTTAATGAACTGAAAAAGCCTCCAAATTGCTGGTTGTAAGCAATGATTCAATTAAAGCTGTGAGATCTGAGCCCCAAACACAGCCCAAGGAGCCCATCCCATAGACCGTTCATGTCTACTTCCCTAAAGACCAGCGAGGAACCAGAGTTTGGAGATAAGGCAGGCTGGACAGCCAAATCCCTTAACAGTCTTCTGTCACCCTCTAAATCACACACCTTTCCCACCACTTCTCTAAGTGTGAGTATTGTAGGTTTTACATGTGACATATATCTTGCAGAAGCTTTGTGGGTTGGATATAGAAACACAATGCTCTCAATGACTGTAGCCAACTTTTTCAAACATCTGTGAGCGGATATGTTGCAGGGTCACCATGTCTCTAAGGCCCAAACCACCTCGTTTCAATTTAGATTTTCAGTGAGGAATTTTGCAATCACCTTATTATTGCTCCATTTCTGTCTGCCAGCATAAGGACAGAGCCAGACCGGACAATAGACAGGACAGTCTTAAAGTAATCCTAACACCTTGAAACAGACCATCTGAGTGTAATGTCCTCCACTTTTCTCAATACTCACACAAGGTCTTTTGCTCTCTCTTCTTTCTTTTGTTTTCATCAATCATCCCTCTCTCCTTTCTTTCCTTCTTTCTTTCTTTCTTTCTTTCTTTCTTTCTTTCTTTCTTTCTTTCCAGTGGACATGGCCACACATATCTCCAGATGATTGCTGTGACCGCCCCACCATACCAGACACACCCCCCTCCAGCTCCAGATTCCCTCCACCACCAAAAATTGAACGGTAGGCTCAACATTTACACACAGACCTCTCTTAATTCATTCTAATGAGCAGTTTTGCGACAGCTTTAGAGCATAGGCGTGCAAGGCATGTCATTTGAATGAGCAGAGCTGTTGTGTGCGTTTGGTCGCTATTCTAGTTTGCCCATCTGCTGGTGATGGACGATTATCGTGCCATGATTAGAGCCAGATCAGAAATACTTGATTTATTTTTATTTTTTTTTCATGAAAAGGAAAATGTATGATTGCAAAATAGTTTCTGGTTTTGAGAAGGCACACAGCATACAACGTTTTATTCCCCAAATATTTTTGGATATCCTGCCTTCATCAGGGTGGTATATGAATTTGTCTCTACTTTCAGTGTGTATGGTCCATTAACTATCCATGCAAATTTACAAGAGAAATATAAATTACAATAAATACAAAACTTAAAACAGTCTTCTTAGTTTTACATTTTGGGAAATGCACTTATTTACTTTCTTGCCAAGAGTTTGATGAGAAGATCAATAGTTCTCTCCCATCTGTACGGTAAATATGACGCTACAGCCAGCAGGCAATTAACTTAGATTAGCATAAACACTGGAAACAGGAGGAAACAGCTGGCCTGGCCTTAACGTTTAAAATATCTGCCTAACAGCACCTCTTAAGCTCACTAACTGAGAATTTTTAGGTGGAGGTGGTTTGGATAGAGCCAGGCAAGCTCTCCCCCTGCTTCCAGTCTTTATGCTAAGCTAAGCTAAGCTAATCACCTGCTGCTCTAGCTTTATATTTACCTTTAAGACATAAGAGTAATATTGATGTTCTCATCTTAGTCTTGGCAAGAAAGCAAATAAGCTTTCCCTATTCCTTTAAACCAACAACAGGTGCAACAGGTTGAATCTCCTCATATACCACCCAGATGAAGGTAAGATAGCTGAAACCAGTTGGGGAATGCAGCATATTGTGTTAAAGTTGTGCCACTTGTTTCATTTTGATCATATTGAAAATATTGCCAAATTTCAGGCTAAAGTGAAAACAGGTTTGACTTTATATAACAAGGAACAAGGAAGTGTCCTTGCTATGAAAAAGACGAAATGAAGCTGACAAAAAAATCTTTCAAAGTCCATTTCATCGTATCACAGAATCTTCCTCAGCTGATGTTCATCCAGTTGTCATTGAATTCAGTTTTCTTAGCAATAATGAAATTGAGACTTAATTGTGTGATACAACCATAATCTCTTGAACAGCTACTAAAAGGACCTTGTGTTGAGATTGTTGCATCAACTTCTTTTGTCAAGGTCAAGAATTAACTTTGAACCTTAACTATAAGAAGCTGTAAACACAACACTGACACATTATCACCTTTTAAGTTGATACCGCAAACTGAAGTTGTGTTCCTGGCCACCTGTTGAATGTAAATCCAGTATTCACTCTGGTTTCAGCTGTGGTTTGATCTCCATCATATCCCGAGGGGAGGGAAATACCTGCTCTTTAGCAGCTTAATGCTCTACTGTGTTCACAAGAGTCTGCAACTTTGTACTGTCTACTGTTGGGTGCTGAGGGCTGTAGAGCTGGTTTGATTAAAACAGCTGCTTGTGTCCAAAGACTATGCTGATGAGGCAGTAAAAACCAAAACAATGAGCTAAAAGATGCTAAAACCACTTTGCAAGGCTGAGGAAATTATAATTCTCTGTCGGTTTATTACTACCAGCAAAGCCTTTCACATTCAAGTAGGTATGTACGTTTCTGGCAACTGATCAGAGCTCAAATACTTCCAATAACATGAAATGAGACAACGAAATAACTCTCTACCTCAATGAACATTTTATTAATATTGAATCAGAGAAGGTCAACGAATGCACATGTCAACCTTATTTACCAGCATGACTTTGTTGGCTTAGTCCTGCCTACTCTTGCATTACAGTGTGTGTATATGCGTCTGTTTAAATCTGTATATGTGTGTGTAGGCCAGTCTAGTGGGCGTCTGTGCAGCACATGGCTGTCCGATGCATGGTCTCTGCTCCCTGGTCTCTCCTCATTAGCCTCACACGGTGCAGCCGTTCCCCTCTCGCCCCCTCACCTCCTCCCCCCTCCTCTCGCCCTCTACCTTCCACTCAGAGCACACACAAGGGGAAGAGCGAACCTTTTGTTTTCTGTGTCCGACCTGCACCCCGTTCCAGCCCTCCTCCTTTTCTCTCCTACTCCTCTCCACTGACTAAATCTCTTTTCCGGCTTGATACTGCTGAAAACCATATGGTGTGTGACATCATCAGGGCAGGAAGCAGAGAGAGGGGAATGGTAGAGCAGGGGAGAGATTGGCTTGCCAGGTCTCTGTACAGTGATGTCAGCAGAAAAGCACTCTGGGAGGCCCGTTGGGGGGTGAAAGCAGAGCAGGTTGGAAATTATATCTCTTTTTTTTTTTTTTTTCAGATCTCACTCCCACCTGGATAATCATGGGCTGAAGGACGGCGAGTAGAGAGGCAGCGTATACCTTGAAGGGAACCTTGACGTGATTTGTTAACATGTCAGGTCATGAACTGTTTCCCTAGTTTACACTCGAGTGCAGGTGCTGCTGAAACACCTTTCTCTAAAAATGTCAGAAGAATCTTAATTCAGAGGGATTTCAGATAGTTCCTGTGATGCTAAAACGTCTACAGATCATCTAACTACTTTCTTTTAGTTGCTGGCAGTCCCAATCTGCTCACCAGGCTTTATGTCTGTCAACCTCCCTCCCCCTTTTGTTCTCTGGGTGAACTCTTCAGCTTTGTTGTGAGATCCTGGTCTCCATACCATCACTACCGACCCATCCAGCTCTCTATCAGCACACACAGAGATACACATAAACACTCAGTTAGCCACTCACGCAGTCAGCATCTCTCTCCTTCACACACAAACACACATGCACTAAAATACCCTTCCCCTCTGATTAATGGCAGAGCTGGGGAGGGTGCCAGGCAAGGAGGGAAGGCATTAGAGGAGAGGGGAGGAGACGAGAGGAGAGGAGAGGAGAGGAGGAGGAGAGGCTGCTGCAGCTGTGGTTTTGGTGTCGGTCTCTGCACCCCCTTGCTGCCCCCTCTCTCCATCTCCTCTCTGGCTCCTCCAGGGACACACGCCTTGGCCAGGCCCCAGGAACCAGGGAGTCAGGACCAGGCTAAGGGGGAGAAAAAGGGGAACAAGGATAGGGAAGGAAGGATATCACAAAAGAAAGAGAAAAACAGAGCTGACCTAATACGAAAGTATTGTCAGGCAGCACCTACATAAACAGGAGAGTGCATGAGATGTTCCTCAAAGGTTTTTACGGGCAAAACGGAATCACATTTCCAAAAACACTTGAGCCTGTTAAAGTTTGTTTTACTATTTGATACTGGTGCTGTCATTTGGTTTTATGTTGCAACAGAACCAGAACTTAGTTCTTTCAGAGTTGAAAAAAACAAACACATTACTTAACTGCATTTTTGAGATAATATCACCATACTGAAGTATTTTTATTTCACATGAATTCAAATTATTACCTAAATAAAATGCATACATGCAAAGCACTACATGGAACCAACAAACTCATTCACATTCAGCAGGCTACAGATTCTCCACAGGGGGAGCTGTGTAGACGGTTTTAGACAAGTACCTCTACAAGTACGTGCTAGAGGTCTGCAAGCCCGTCGGGACCCAGTGGGCCCCAACATGTTGATTGGTGCCAGGCTCGGGTCGGACTCAGGCTTATTTGACTTCTCTCCTTTCATTGTCCTCATAGTGTATGGATGTGTGTGTGTGTGTGTGTGTGTGTGTGTTTGCATGTATCAGTGAGAGTGAACATCAGACAGAGCTATTTTAACTCCTCTCCCTTCATTGTGCCCATAGTCTACGTGTGCTTTTGCATGTATCAGAGAGAACTTAGTTGGTGTTGGGGCCGGCTCGGGCTAAAAACTTGCTTTGGGCCAGACTCGGGCTTTAACACCATGAGCCAGGGCACCATGCTAGGAGTTTTTGGCCTGTGCAGGGCTCTAGTACACTCAATATGCACCACCTATAGGACAGGAAAGTCACAACAGCAGAAGTTAAAATGTCCAGATGTGGCTATTTTAATGTTTCCTCAAACAGGCAATTTTAAGACTCATGCCACCTGCAGGCTGTGAGTTTTACAACTTTAGGGATTCTAAATAACTGCCATTTTCTGTGTGTGTGTGATGTTTTACTTACTTAACACTTGATAACACTAAATGTAATAAAACTTTTTCACTAACCTCCTGTGGATAATAGACCATTGGACATCAGCCATGTGCTTGTTAACCGTCTGTATATATAGGTACCTTTTCCACAAATAAACAACAGCCATGCAAATGATTTATTTCAGATAAATAAATTCTGATTAGAACCCCTTCCATTCCTCACCAAAGGTAGACCACCCTGGGACAGAGAACAAATGAGAACAGATGACTAAGAGCAGCGTGTGCCCTGTAGACCGACTCTTCAGCAGACACTGGCTGAAACATTCATTGGCTGCAGGTGGAACAAGTGTCAAAACTGCAGAAGCTATAACTTTGCTTTCCTCAAAGTGGTGCATTTGCATCTGCAGGTCTGAATGAGTGGCACTGCAGCTCTGCATGGCTGTCAATTTCCACCCCCTCAGCAACAGGTGGCTGAATGTTTATAGACACCAAGTTCTGTTTTAAAGGGATTTGTCTGCCAGATTAAAATCAGTGTGGCTTTACAAGATATTCTGGTTTTCTGTTGACAGATTTGTAAAAATATTTTGATTTTATGACATGTTTCTTTCAAAAAACCATGTGCTTTTTGATGTTACACAGCCCCTTAGCACTTACAGAGTAACGCTTCATGTTGCTTCTGTTCTCTTTGGCCTTCAGCAGTCTGTGAGAAATGTGTGCTTTTATCAATATGTAGTTGATTGTGCAACAGTTGTTTCATCATTTTAGCAATATTTCTTATTACCCCTGAAAAAAAATATCTGTCCCGCTGAAATCAACTTAAGTATCATACAAACAAAGATTATCCTTTTCAATGTGTACATAAGGCCATATTGTGTATATTCATGTACAGTAGGTCTTCAAAAAGATGCTGGCCAGCGTCATTGGTGCCTTAAATGTAAGAAATGTAATTATAAGCAGAAGGTTGGCTTTTCAAACTGTTACAGTTGTTCATCTTCAGAAATCAGAACACTGCAGTTTCACTCGGTATCAAATGGGAAATAAAGTGATTTCCTTAGATGAGCAATGAAAATAAACAGTTTGTGTTTCCTGTACTTTTATTCTGTAAGTTTGCCAAGACCAGCTCTGGTAACCTTATTCCACAATCCACTGTTGCTTCCCGAGGAAGATAACGAGTGATGAGGAAGGGGGAAAAAATGGCCAATGGGTGGATGAACCTGAGAGAACAGGCACTATAGATGAACACTTTTGCTCTACACGTGGCTGGCTTGCTTCTCTTTTTTAAACTTGTCAAAAGCACTTGTAATAAATTCAGAATTAATGCGTACAGAGGTGGAAAATTTCCTCTTAAACAGTGAAGATTGTGTGATTTTTCATGGTTGGGGGAGGTGTCTACAGAGGGCTCATCCTTATTAAATTTGAGATAAGCTTATCAGCTCTCCACTTGTGCTAACTTAACCTATGGCTTTAATGGTAGCCTGCCTCAACTTATGCAGGATGTTTGGGTATGCCTGTGTGTGCTTGAACCCAAAGTGTGATCTGCTTACCCCCACTGCCCTGCAGCCCCGGGTTAGTGTGTATTTGAGGCCTATTCTCTCTCTCTCTCTCTCTCCTCTCCCCCACTACTCTCAGTGTTTTATGGGCTGTGTGCTGCGGTGCAGTGACCTCCCTCTCACCCCGGTGCCACCCAGCCGGTGCAGGATTCAGGCGCGCATGGCCCCTGCCAAAACCCCATAGCGCCACATCTGCAATCCATAAACGCCAGCCACTCTCGCTCTCCTACTCCCTCGCCCACACCGCCTCAGACTCTCACACTCCTCCATTTCACTCTCTCTCTCTCTCACCCACTAACTTTTTATTTTAATTTCCAAATTCTATGCATCCCCCTTTTTGCATTCCTTTGACTGCTTCCTCCCACCACTTCTGGTTTTATTCATGCCGAACATCAACTGGCTCTTCCCTTATCTCTCACTCCCTCACTGCCCCTTTTCTCTCCTTCCGTTTCTTTATCCACATCCAACGGAAAAATCTCTCACCCATTATATCTTCAGTCGGAGCCAACTAAGTGTGGTGGCAGTGAACTAGGAACCACAAGACATTCCTGATCCAAACAGCACTAAGTCACCAGCGTTCACGTCTTCTGACAGCGGCCTGTGCCAAACACACACTTCACTTATGGGCTGGATTCAGCCTTACCACGTCGCAGTTGGTCCCCAAACAGCTAAATGTTTATCTGTTTCAAATTGATAGTGTCAGGGAAAAATGCAGTGTACGCATCTACACTTTACCATTTTTGTACATGTGTTACTTAAAGAGCATTCTCCATCAAGGGGGTATTGAATTCCCTCTCCCCTCGCCATGAACTGCTGGCCAGCAGAACACACAATACCCCTCCCCTCAGCCTTAACAAGATGTGTTCAACACATCACTGTTACCGTGCCCTTGCCTTAATACATATACAAAAAAATAGCAAAGTAGGAAATAAATTGGGTGTTACCATATAACTGTCCAGAGATCATAGCTTGCCCCCCAAGGGCAATAGAAACATTAGTCTTTCCCGATTGTATTATCTTTTTTCTTCAACTTTTTCCACTGTAATCAAATAAAAATGCACACAGTGAACTTTTGCTCCCCTTCATTTCTTGGATCATGTTCTCCTCTTCATCCCAAAGTCTTCACCTTCTGGTTTCCCAGACATATTGGCAAGGCCTCTGTGGTGCAGTCCCAATACAGCCCAAGGATGAATCATGTTGCTGCAAGCATGCAAGGGCTTAGTTTTATGATAAATATTGCAATTCATAAATCAGTATTTTTCTAAGCAAGGAGGAATGGGGCAGGGAAGGACGCAAAACTGTAGGGCATTGCAGCTTCAGTTTGAAAGCGACAGAAAAGAGGTCATGATCTGAGTGTGTGTGTAGACTAGAGCTCAAAAGGAAGTTTCAGGTCAGGGCAAGACCACCATGGAGAGAGAGAGCAGGGTCTTGTGTGTGTGTGTGTGTGAAGGGGTGTATACTGCCGGTAGTTAGCAAAATGCTATAAATACTTCTACTTTTAGATGTTGATAGACTTTTAGGCACAGGGTACAGAAAGTGTAGTTAAAAATGACTGTTTTAAAAGCGGTTACTTGCCCTCACACTGATGTAATGTTGGTGCCAGCTTAAAATAGCTTACACAGGTTAAGAAGTCTTGTATTTTGTGCTTTGTGTTGTTTCATACTGTATTAAATTCATTCAAAGACTGGTTATTAACTAGGTCTTGGTGGGCTCTTTTTTTTGTACAATCCACTCAGGCATGTTTGTGATAAATGATTGCATAAATAAATGAACCTGACAGCTGCAATTTGTCACAAGTCATTCACTGAGAACTGTTGCTTAAAAGTACAACTTGGGAGTTATTTTTCCCTGATTAAAATTCCACAAATATCCCAAACATTATCTATGTAATGATATTGTCCAAGTTAGTATATTTGAATGTGGCTGCAGCAAGCTCTAAGCCACATCTGCATGACTTCAAAGAGTTGCCAGTGTAATGGGCTTGATACATGACTAATGTAAAAACTATTATTGATCTGCCAGTTGCCGTGGTAACAGCCCTCATTATGTTAAATCATAAAGCAGTAGTCAGTCAAGTATTTTTGACCCATTTCAAAGTTGCTCAACAAAGCAGTGAGGAAGCTTTATGAATACTTATTCATTGCTGCCATCTAGTGGCCGAAAGGGACTCAGCAGCAAGTTAGAAGCTTCTTAGGAAAATGGAAGAAATATAAACAGCAACTAAACAGGATATAGTTTGGATCAAAATAGTTTTATTTAATACACATTACACTTTTTGAAAATGTCCTGTGTCTGTATTGCATTGTCAGGTTGTCCTTCCACTATTCCATGTCCAAGTCATCCATCTCCACAATGCCTTCTCTCTTGACCCAGGGTAAAGACGATGGCACGTAGGGGTCATATGTCCAGGGAGGATACACTCTCTTGTACAAATTCATCAGCACAGTGTCTTGAGAGGGCAGCTGGTTATCAAATACACACTTCATGTGACCGTGTGTTCCTGAAAAAATAAAATACAGCAGTTTGAATTCACAGGAAATAACAGACATTGCTTAACAAAGCTGCTGACACCAAGTTTGTTTTTAAAGTGTTCTCACCTAAAGCCTCCTTGATGTGGCCTCTTCGACCCCACTTTGTCCGCAGCTCCACTGGCTTGAACCACATGATGTCATCTGCCACAGAAAGAACAGAAAAAGTAAATCATGAAGCTTAAAGCCCTCAGAAGTGAAACAGTGTGTAATATTCTGTCATAGTAAGTATGAGAACATCATCTCACCCCTGTTAAAGAACATGTAACGGACCACAGCAGAACGCCGGTTTATTTTGAACGGGTGTCCGCTCAGTACTATCCTCTTCAGCACGACACGCTGAGGGTCACAACTGAGCAGACTGCCTGTAGCCACAAGGTCTTGGATGCCTAGAAAGTCACAGGAACAAGAACACAAGCTCAAATGCCAGTGCAGAATTACCTTAAGTGGATAATTAAATAAAACAATCAAGAGACAACAAAATAGACGGTCAAAAGTTCAAAAATCAAGGCAACGAGACCACTAATGAAATCAACTCATTTCCAAGCACAGATGGGACTTTTCATCTCACCATCATTCCTTTGTTTGAAGAGCAGGACTCCCGAAGGGTTGAAGGTGATGGGAGCGTACACCGACACCACGGTGGGGGCATCTGGCCTGAGGAAGCGCTCCATCTTATGCTTGTCAGCTGGGGAAGAGCAGAGCTGAGTTCAACACTCAATAATTCATTTACAGCTCTATATCCAGCAGCTAATTCCGTTTCAGACAACTTGCTTTTACAATCTTTCTGCTAATATCGTTTTGAACTGAAGTAACAGGAAATCCATAACGCTATCGAATGACAAATAATTGGTTCTACATAAAGACACTGTACTATAAAATCAAGCAAACACACTGAAGCCACTTCCTTCTAAAGACTCTATGCTGATTTGGATAAGAGCATCACTAAATTCCTAGAATACTAAAATCATGTTCATCTTCTCCAGCTTCTTGGGCATTTGGTGTTCTATCAAAATGGTAAACATAACAATTAAATGTTGATTGACACGGTGAATATTTGATGGTGGTTGTGGTTTTGAAGAGGAAAGCTCTATTAATCGGTTTGCAATGTGAGTGAAATGGAGTGAATCCCTGTGTCAAAGTTCACCAAACTTCACGCTTTGTCTGTAAGCATATCCACTTACTGCATTAGTTACATTGAAATTAACTGATTTTGGTGCAACATTTAACTTGTTAATGCTGATGTGAGTGAGCCCTTAATATGTCGTCATCAAACCTTTTGTGAAGCTGGGGTCATTTATAGCTCTCGGTTCTTCTAATGCATGCATTGGGGTGATTTTAAAAATGACTGTTTCGTTAAGAGGATAATCAGGTTGAATTAGGGGTTTTCTCAGTTAACAGGATTTCTACCTGATGTGTGCTGAGAGAAGATAGGAGAGGCCCTGAACCTCCGAAATCCACAGTGAAACACCAGCTCCTCTTTAGACTTGATGGGCTCTGTGTTGCTGGGGTGTCTCCTCACCAGGAGGTGCATTACTGACATCTGTGCACCGAAGGAAAAAAATAATATAGTACTGTCAGTGTGACTTAGTTTCAAATGGACAGTTATGAACTCAGACACAAAGGTTATTAGATGTCATACCTTCTGTTCATGTGGCAACAGAGACACCAACGTCAGAGGTTTGCCTGACTGGACACTCTCCATCACAGAAAAAGGCACGTCATTGATGTGTAACGTAACATACCAGCCCACCTGAAACAGAAGGGGCGGCAGAGTCAGCCACAGATCTAAAATCTAACAAACGAGCATCTACAAATGAAGAAAGTCCCTTTTTTTTTTTTACCATGGCTCCCTCTTCCTCAGCTGCAGCCTCAGCCAGGATGCGGTGGCGAGTGCGTTCAAAGCTTTGGAACTGGAAGATGCGCGAGTAGTTGAGAGGCAAGTTCTCCATGGGGTCCCAGGGGGAGGAGCGAAAACTTTTTAGACCTCTATAGCGCTGGAACCTAGACACAGAGGACAGCAAAAGGATCTATGAGACAATGATGCTGAGGTGAGTTTTCCTCCCCTTTTAGTCTGAAGCGCTTTGACTATCAATAATAAATCATTAAATAAATATATTCTCTCAGAATTTGTTTTCTTTCGTGCCTAAATTCACAATACTTATTCATTTATTCCTCATCTTACATAAAAGAAGAAGAACAGACCTGATTCTAGCTGCCATGTCCAGGGGTGTGTCCACCTCATCGGGAAACATTTCATTGGCCCGAGCCTCCCGGTAGCGTTTTAGGCCTTCTTCTTCTGCAGCTTCATCCAAGTGCTCATCATAACGCTGATCTGCTCCAGTTCGCTCCGTGGAGCACACCTCTTCCTCTTCTTCTTCCTCTTCTTCTGAGGCACAGCCTGAACCTGGCTCCTGAGCAGAGAGGATACAGCATAATTCGCAATTAGTACTGAGCCCTGTTGGTATTAGAGGCCTAAACAGAGAATGCCACAGACGTAAACATATCTCGACCCTGGCACAAGTTGATAAGTGATGATATTAAAGAGCAGTTAAATGTTCCTCGTCCCATTATTAGTGACTGATTGGTGATGTTGAAATATGGGGCGTCACAATGGTCTACATAACGTCCCTCGTGTACCGCCCCTTTCTCTGCACATTTTTACACATTTCCACACATTTCCTGTTTGCCTTCTTTACTTTATGCTATCAGTTAAAAGCAAAAATGCCCCAAAACTTTGGGGAAAATAAGGGCTTTAGATAAGATAGTCAAAACGATAGTCACAATGTCAAGCCACAAGAGGAATGAAAGCCTTTTTGTACATACAACATCAAATCCAGATATATGTGGATCAGCAGGTGTCTCTGGTTCTCTTACTGTTCTGCATAATACCGTTGTTGCCCTCTTTTTCTTTTAATTCACCAAGGCAGCATTTTCTAAATGCAGCCACAATACTTTGCAAACAATGACCAGACCCATATGTCTGGAATACAAGTGGAGTCAAAGAGTCTCTAAATGTTTCTAAGTATAGAAATTGTAATTGTATAATAGCCAGACATAAACAAGACCCAGCCACAATAAGAACAGTGTTTTGAGAAGACTTGTACTGTGTGTAATAGTATTTGCATCTGTATATATATGTGTGTGTGTGTGTGTGTGTGTGTGTGTGTGTGTGTGTGTGTGTGTGTGTGTGTGTGTGAGAGAGAATGTGATAGGGAGTTGCCAGAATGCAAACTATGGGAATCCCTGGTTTGCATATATTTAAATTTTGTGCAGTTCGTAGTGCTTCTACAGTAGACTGTCTCCGGTGTTTCCAGAGATTCACTCTTACAATTTCTAGAAATTCAACTTCCAAGGGCAATATAATTGAATGAGGAAATTAATCATCAAAGACGACATGCTTTACAGTGCTCCCTCAACTGGCAGATTAGAGGTGGAGCCAGACACATGAAGGGAAAAACACCCAGCATGGGGTTGATTCACAACCTTTCCAACATCCCCGCTGTAATAATAATAATCATTATCATTTGAAGTACCCTTTTCCCTATTGTTACCCTCTCCGAAATACGTATTCCTGTGTGCTAACCTTGACATCAAACACATGCTAATAACAATTCCAGATCATAATGAACCCATTGCATAAAGAGAGTTTCCCCGATTTCTTTTCAAGCAGAGCTGGAAATAAATAAATGGTCGACCCCTCCCTTCGTCCAGACAGGAAGTTCTGTTCGCAGGACAGGAAGACAGGAGGCTTCTCTCTCGGGACTCCTGCTCCAAACACTATTGTTGTGGTGAGCAGCCTGGCACTACAGGCCAGAGACAGACACTGAGAAAACAAACAGTGCCTCTCAGTTACGAGGTGCACTGATCGTGGGTCACGTATGCACCGCTCCAGCCCCGGAACCACTGACAGTCAGACTTCAGAGCTTCTCCGCTGATTACTGCCCTCTGATTACTGTCCTCATCATCCCCCAGATTACACTGTCTGACTGCAGCCACACAGTTGCTATGACAACAAGAAGAAACTGAAAAAAATAAAATAAAACCTACCCTAAAGGTGTGTTCAGGCTGAACTAGAAACTATCACTGATAAAGCAACGGAGAAAAATTAATTAACAACTAGAGGAATATTTAAGTAATTTACCAAATTATAATGCCAAAGATTGCCAAAGTCCATGTTCTACATGGTGGGGGTTTGAGCATTTACTCTAACTCTCAAGGATCAAGGAACTTGCAATAAACCAGTGTGTAGGA